TTAGTCAAGGTCCCTTTGAAAGGCAGTTTGGAATATAGCACGTCCACATGACAATGGATGTTATGAAGCTCTCCTCTAGGCTTGGCTTCAGTGGCTCTTTGGCAGCGAGCTGGATGCGTGTCCTCCACAAGGATGTGGTGGCGTCTCCTCTTGGAATGTTCTTTTCTCCCTCACCTCTTTTTCTTGCAAGTTCTGGAGAAGTTAAATGGATGAGAATTGTGGGACCTGCCATCCTCTGAGGCCTTCTCAACTCTGGAGGTGTTTTGGGAGCTCACTGCAGAGTTGGGGGAATCACCAGGCAGCTCCAGCTGCTCCTCCCAGCCCATGCTGCGTCGTCACTGCTGCCCACGGACGGGTAGCCAGAAGGCTTGGGGCGGCTGGCGCACTAGCTGCCATACTCACGCCAAGGACTACTGTGCAAACGAGGCGGGTACATGACACAGTGATGAGAGAAGGCTCCGGAACAGCTGAGGGTTTGAGCGAGACAGGTTCCTCCTGAGAGAATGTGACCATGGAAATCTCCACATCAGACCAGTTGCTCCCTGAAGAGGGGTGCTCCCTCACCACCCCCTTGCCTTTACACTTTTGGATTTCTAAATGAGAGAGTCATCCATAAACTAGGGGTGGAGAGCATTTGTCAGTGGCTGTCCCTTGGTCCCCAGGTGGCTGCTCACTGGGTCTGTCCTGAGGGTCTGTAGCTACCGTCCATCATGGAAGCTGCTCCTCTCTGGCATAGTCTGGTCCTCCTCCAATCCCCGCTGGGACTGACTCTTGATCCTTCTGAGCAAGGGTGACTGTGACACTCTTGGCAGTTCCTTCTCAGTCTTGCCTGTTCCTTCATTCCTAGCTGGTCTTTCTCCACAACTGGGACACTCTGCTATGATTGGTTTTGCCCTAGTGACAGCCTCTCATTGACTTTTTGGCCTCGATTTCCCCTGGATGCCCCGGTTAGCCTTCAGGTAGCTCATGCGGAGCCCTGATCTCAAATTCTATCCCTCTTCCTTTGCTGGACCTTGTTGGGTTCCTCAGTCGTATCATCCTGACCCTGAGCTTCAGCTGCAAATTCAGAGTTTATGTAGTTATGAGAGCTATCTTTGGAATCAGTCTTTAAGCTGCAGGCTTTCTTTTCTAGAGAAGCTATTTCTTCTAGAGAGTGGTTGGCAGAACGTGGAGGGGTTCTCCCTCACAAAATGAACCCCCAAGTGCTCTGAATCAGGCAGCCTTTCGTGGTGGTCCCGCCCACACGTGTGCCAGAGGAATGTGGGGTAAGAGTGTAAGAGTTAAACAGAGGAAAGAAATAAGCGGCTCAACAGTCAAACACAGGTTTGTGTTGGAGAATAAACCTGAGGAGCTTCTGGCCGAGTTAGGTTAGAGGCACTCTCTCTTACAGACTAACAGTATTGAAGGGTTTAGGGCAGGAGAGCTTATCACAGGCTCAATTATTTCTGTGTCTCTGTCTTGCTTATCTGGGAGGGTGCGTTGTGTGTCTGTTCCCATACATCTTCCTGCAGCTGCAGGGATACCCCCCCAACCCCAGTCTGCTTTTAGCTTCCCTGTCTTAGTACACATAAAGGGAAAGGAATGTGCTTACTAGGGCCCACTGTTTTACTTTGGCCCATTGTGTGAGTGTGAAGTGGTGGTCACCCAAGAGACTTTGCCCCGTCTCTCTCTGTGCCCAGGGTATTTGTGTTTCACTGTCTGCTCTTTCTGGCTGCTTGTTGTTAGAAGAGAAGTGCTTTCCTTGAAATGCATGAGGCTAGAAAGGGAGCTGGAACTTAAAAGTGGCAGTGTTTGATTGAGATGACCGCGCTCCTGCTCTGTCGAGGAGGAGGGAGTCATTTCTGCTAAGGGATGAGCCCCAGGATAACCTCGGAGAGCGAGTCGCATCCTCCTCCTCCTGGGCGCTCAGGTGCTTGGGGCTCCCGGCCCGTCCTGAACAACACAGAGCTCTGAACTAGCCGGCTAGAGGGGCCACATCTCCTGGAGGCAGCTGCGCTTGCTGGGACACCTTCCCACGTGCTGCTCCAGTGACATACTTGATTCACCACTCCAACGCCATGGACACCTTTCCCTCCTCTCCACCACCCCATCGCAGTGCTCAAAGTCTCACAGATGCCAGTGTGCTTCGGAACAGTCACAATGACCTGGCGTTTACCGAAGGCTTTGCTTCGGTTTCCAAGCTCACAATGGGTTTCTGAAGTCACCAAGTTCTTCCGTTTGCATAGGCTACTTCAGAGACGCCTCATTGCCTAGTTGGAGGCTACAAAGCGCTTCAATTTAGTTTTCAATACAAAGCTTTTCAGAGCTGTCAAAGCGCTTCTAAAGACTGCAAGGTGCTTTAAGGTCCACACATGGCTGCTGGACCCATGGGCTCCCACAGCCCGCCCACCAGCCCTGGCTGGAAGGGGCCCAAGCTGCCCCTAAGAGCCAGCGGCACCCCCAAGGCTGCCTCTGGACAGCCCACCTGGCTGCCCCACCTGGCCCAACCTCCACCCAAGATGAGACCACTCTGACCTCCCCAGCGCCCACCCCGCCGGTAGGTTTTTCTCTATACATGCACACCTATGATAAAGATTATGTTAGGCCAATAGTAACTAATAAAATAGAAAAACTATAGCAATGTAAGTTACGTGACATGCTCTCTCTTTCAAAATATCCTATTGTCCTGTACTTTTCTGATGGTGTGAGATGATCCGATCTCTGCATGTTCGATAAGCGAGGGGAATTGTGTAGGTGTCATGACGTAGCGCTAGGCTGCTCCTGAGCTTCCTGTGACATGTCAGGAGGGTCACAGCGCCATGACAGTGTTGGTGGCTGTGTGTCAGGAGCAGATGACGTGGAAGACTAACGGGCAAGCTGCGTATGCAGCGAGGTACACGGGACAGGGGTGGCGCACGCCCCTGGGTGCATTGTGCAAGATGTTAACACGCTATCAAATTGGCATGCAATTTAACACTTCGGAACTGCTCTTTTCTGGAATGTTCCATTTAATGTTTTCTGACTGCAGTTGATCTTGGTTAACTGAAACTGCTGAAAGCGAAACCACAGATTGGGGGGGACAGCTATATGACTTGAACTGACACATTCGTTTTTGCTTAAATGGCTTGTGGAGAATCCACCATTCTACCGGTCTAAGATGGAAAATAAAAAAGACTGTGTCGTTTTAGATGTTTCTTTTAGAGGGAGGAGACGTTGTTAATCTCAGGTGGCTCCCGGCTCTCCGCCGTCCACTGATGCCCTACTGCATCTACAGACCGTCAGGCCCCTCCCACACACGATCTTTCTCAGTGTTCCTGTCCTGTAAGATGGTCTCACAGCAGAAACCTAGCGTGGTAGTAGCCTGGCTCACATGAGTAGGACTTCTGCAGAGTGGTTCCATTTCCACGTGGGACTTCAGAGCCCAGCGTGCCTGGTTTCATGCCCCAGTAACCAAAGCAACAGCAGTGCGTCACCCCATCTGCTCCAGTCCCCTGTCCCTGAGTCCCTGCCATCTTCGCAACCTGTTTTGATTCTGAAAGTTAATCCCATGGAAGTTTCTGTTTGTTTTTATCGCTTTCTTTGCTTAGTTTTGTATTTCCTAGTACCTGCATGTGCCATTAAAAAGGTGACTGGAAAAGGAGCTCTTAAAACTGCAAGAGAAATAGTACAGGGTCTTGTGTAATAAAAAATACTGCAACTTTCCAATACTGATAAGTGTGGACAGTTGGTAGGATTGTATGCTTTTTCTGTGTGAAATACGAAATTCAGGATTTCTCATAAATTTAGGATTGCTTTCTAAAAATGCTTCACTATTGGTAGCAAGTAGTTTATGTTAATAAGTAAAAAACCCCAAAAAGTCAATGTGAAGAAATGTAAAATAAAAAGTAAAGGTAGTTATTAATCTGTAATTATTTATAATGTCAATTTTTAGAGTTAATGAATTACACGATCCAATGTACCAGTATCGAGTTGACACCGGAAATTTTCAGGTAAGCACTGTTAATGAAGCCTACGACTTTTCTTCTTTATACAGTTACTGAATTTTGTGACTTAAATTGTTCTGCTGAGCTTGCTAACTGGCTACTGGGGAAGGACTATAGAAACTTTAAGGGTGGAAGATTTGGGGGAAAGTGTTTTTTTTTTTTTTGAGACGGAGTCTCGCTCTGTCACCAGGCTGGAGTACAGTGATATGATCTCAGCTCATTGCAGCCTTTGCCTCCTGGGTTCAAGTGATTCTCCTGTCTCAGCTTTCTGAGTAACTGGGACTATAGGTGTGCGCTGCCACACCTGGCTTATTTATTTATTTATTTATTTGAGATGGAGTCTTGCTCTGTCGCCCAGGCTGGAGTGCAGTGGCACAATCTCAGCTCACTGCAACTTCCACCACCTGGGTTCAAGCGATTCTCTTGCTTCAGCCTCCCTACAGTCCCAAGTAGCTGGGACTGTAGGCACATGCCACTACGCCCAGTTAATTTTTGTATTTTTTAGTAGAGATGGGGTTTTACCATGTTGGCCAGGACCAGTCTCAGTCTCTTGACCTCATGATCCGCCCCTGTCAGCCTCCCAAAGTCCTGGAATTACAGGTGTGAGCCACCGTGCCCAGCCCTAATTTTTGTATTTTTAGTAGAGATGGGGTTTCACTATGTTGGCCGGGCTGGTCTTGAGCTCCTGGGCTAAAGTGCTCTACCCATCTCAGCCTTCCAAAGTGCTGGGATTACAGGCGTGAGCCACCGTGCCCGTCAGAAAACCTCTTTAAAACAGTGTGTTTACGCCTAGTCTTTGGTCTGTGGCTGATGGCAGTGACGGTCCCTGGAAGGATACAGCCGAGGCCCTGTCACTGTGGCTCTGGTTGGATGATCTTCCCTTCCCAGTCACGTGTCCCATGTGACGTGGGCTCTGGAACTGACCCCAGGGCTCATCTCCATTGCTGAAGGAGACACCGGAGAGCAGAGGCTTCTCTGTGCTAAACACACTGGTCTAGTCCAGTCCCTTTGCTTTATATAAGTTCCCAACTAAAGTCACACTGGCCTAGTCCAGTGCTTTTGCTTTACATAAGTCCCAACTAAGGGTTCTTTCGAGAAAAAGAATCCCGGTTCCTGCTGTGCTGTCCCGCACTCTGAGCCTTGACCGTAAGAGGGGAGCTCTGGCACTGAGAGGGCAGAAAAGGGCTGGGGTGTGGCCTGGGCTGGAGCCTCAGAGGAGTGGGGACTGCATCAAGGGCACTGTCCACCCCATGGCCTTGCCCTCCACAGAACCCATGGGCCTGCCTTCCCCATCACAGCTCTGGAACAGTCTTTGGAAAAGGGCTTTGGGTTTCTGTAATAACATTACAGAATTGTGTTTTTTTAGATCTTAGGGCCTCTAATCTAATTCACGCCCCTCATGTCACAGATAAGGAAACAGAGGTCTGGAGTGGTTGAGACTGCATGTGGATTTCCAGGGCCCAGCCTGGGTCTTTTCTTGGATACATGCGAGCTTCCCACATGCAGGGGGCAGGGTGGGGAGCCAGGCCCTTGTTCCCAGGGGAGAGGCAGACAGATAGTGGCCACTGCAATCTGTGAGCACCTGCTGTGCCTGGACGGGTCCGTGGTGGGAGTTTGGGCTCTGCTCCGCTGAATTGCAAGGCCTGGGGTATCATCTTGGGGGAGATGCCTGTACTCACAGGGGACTGAGCAGATGGTCTCGATGGGACCCCATTGTTCTGCTTCCTGGAGGGTCCTTCAGGATTTAAGTCCCTTCTAAAAACCTGTGGCTTTCCTGGCTGTGGAGGTGCCGGGAGGAGGTCATAGGCCCTGTTGTGACTAAAGTGCCGCCTTGCTTCCTTTTAGGGAATGAAGGTCTTCTTCATGGTGGTGGCAGCGGTGTACGTCCTGTACCTCTTGTTTTTGATAGTGCGGGCGTGTTCCGAGCTGCAACACATGCCTTATGTGGGTAAGCGCCCCTTTCAGAATCACTCGGCGCAGGGGTGGCTCGGGAGTGACTCAGGTGGGAGAAGAAGTGGTTGGAGTCTCCCAAGCCAGGGGCCTTCCCTGAGGGCCCAGAGACTGGTCCATCCCCATGGGCCGGGGACCAGGCACGTGGTCCTGGGAGGCCACAACAGGCCTAACAGGTTACTCTGGCCTTTGGGGCCATCAGAGTGGTCTGGGTCCTGCGGGACTGCACCCTGCAGAGCAGGGAGAGTCACCCTGAGCTTGCGGGATCCTTCTCCGAGTCTGTCCCTTCAGAGGATGGTGGCTGTGGCCTCCCTGGACACCACCCTGGCCCTGGGAAGGGACCAATGTTCTCCTGTGCTGAAGGTGACTCCGGCCAAGTCTGGGGGGGAGGAGCATTTGTACAAAGAGCTTTGCTTCATTTTTTTTTTTTTTTAATTTTTCAAAACAAAATGAGATGAGAGTGGAGTGTACTTCCAGGGTTGTTAATGAGAGTTTCTTTGTTTTTCAGATCTCAGGTTAAAATTTTTGACCGCATTGACTTTTGTAGTACTTGTCATTAGGTAAGAAGACTTATTTCTTAAAAAGAGCAAAAACAGTGAGGGGCTCCTGTTGTGGAGTGGATTTCAGGGTCCTAGCCCAGTAGACGCATGAGGTTAGAGGGCCTCCCACCAAGGTTGGGCAGCGAGAGCGGACGCCAGCTTGGAGAACATGTTTTCGTTGTAAGTGGTGGGGACTGGAGCATGTGCGCTCGCGCACACTCGGCCTGCACGGGGCGTGTTCCGTCCTTGCTGTGCCACCTGCCATATGTGTGGCATGCAATCGCCAGCTGGACAGTTGGAATTCTACACGATGGATGTGAGGACACTGGGAACCTCGGGATCCTTGCGGTTCCCGGAGGACAGAACTCTAAGTGTGAGTTAGGACAGCAGACACCTTTGAGCAGAGCAGCATGCTCCGTTGGCGCCATGGGGGGGCTATGCGAGGCGAGGCGGGCTGGTTCCTGTTGTGTCAGGGAGTGGGGTCAGCCCAAGGGCTCCCGGGGCAGGCTGAGCCTGAGCTCAGGCTTGGCCTGAGCGCCCCGGACCTCCCTGGGGACTGGTGCTGGCCAGTTGGTAGAGGAACAGAGAGGGCTTGGAAGTTGTTAGATTCCAGATCAGTTGGTGGATTGTTTATGGTTTGTCTCTTTCTCCTAAAATCAGAATCCAGAGGGAAAAATGTAGCTGCTCCTTTCTAGGTTGTTTGGATGACAATTAAGTGGATGTCGGCCCTTTTCCTTTATGGGAGTGACAAGGGGCCTCTGGGAGGTTGGCCCTTGTCCAGGCTTTCCAGGTGGACTCTTAGGGTCCCCACCTTGTGGAGGGTGAGGACTGAGATAGGCATCCCTATGAGTGGCATCCCATCCCTTGGAGTGGGAGCTCAGCTAGGACTCAGATTTCTTTCAGCATCAGAATTTATTCAGAATGATGCAGCATGTGTGTTTTAACTGTTAGGCTCTGTTCAGTGGTAACTGTGCACCGCATCTCTGTGACGTCTGAGACACTGTCATACACCCTTACCTACAGGTTCACTCACACAACCTCATTCATGCTTCACTCAACACCTGACTCCCTCATAACTCTCGCACACACCCTCACACCCTCTCACACCCTCACACATACACCCTCACTCATACACCCTGACCCTCACACACCCTCACACCCTCACTCTCACACACCCTCACACACACCCTCACACCCTGACACACCCTCACACTCACACACCCTCACCCTCATACACCCTCACCCTCACACCCTCACTCGCACACACCTTCACACACCCTGACACCTCTCACACCCTCACTCTCTCACACCCTCACTCTCACACCCTCACTCACACACTTTCACTCACACCCTGACACACCCTCTCACACTCTCACTCTCACACACCCTCACCCTCACACACCCTTACCCTCACCCTCACACACCCTCACCTTCACACACCCTCACCCTCTCTCACACCCTCATCCTCACACACCCTCTCACACCCCCTCACCCTCACACACTCTCACCCTCACCCACCCTCTCACACACCCTCACCCTCACCCTCACACACCCTCTCACACACCCTCACCCACCCTGACCCTCACACACCCTGACCCTCACACACTCTCACACTCTCACACATCCTCACTCAAACACGCTTACCCTCATCCTCACACTCCCTCTCACACCCTCACACCCTCACTCACACAGCCTAACCCCACACCCTAACCCTTACACACCCTTACCTTCCCTAACCCTCACACACCCTCACTCACACACCCTCATACACACCGTCACACGCTCACCCTCACCCCCTCACTCACCCTCATTGTCACACCCTCACACTCGCCCTCACACCCTCACACTCTCGGTCTCATATCTTCACCCTTAAACTACCTAGTCCCCGAGTCGGGAGCTGCTGTCTCCTGTTGGTGGCCTTTGTCTCAGAAGTTGCTCTGCCTCGTGCTCTCTTTTCACAGGAGTGTTAGGGGAACGCATTTATCCTCCAAATAGTGACCTAGTGCCTGCCCTGGCAGGCGGGTTCCTGTCATGGGATTTATGTTCCCACAGAGGGAGACAAGTGGCAAACAAGTAAAGACACTGCCTGCGTGCCATGCCACAAACGAAACGGAGACGTGACTTGTGGAGGGGAGGGGTCTGCCATAGATGAGTGGTTTGGGGATGTGTCTCTTGGGGAGGTGACATTTGGCTGGGGACCTGAGAAGGAGCCCTGAAAGCTGTGTGTGGCTGCTCCAGGCTGCAGAACATGTGGCACGTGGGAGGTGAGGGGGCAGGCAGGTGGGGAAGGAGCCTGTGACCTGTGTTACCCAAGGCCTCCATTGTCATCTGTCACTGAGTGGGAGTCTGAACTAAAGGTGCATTGCCTTAGTCACTGTGGAAGTCACTGCGACTGACTGGGGAGGTGTCCCTGTGTCTGAAAGGGGAGCTGTGGCTTCCCTTAGCGGGGGGGTGCTCTGTCACAGGAGACAGTCTCGAAAACCTGAATTGCGAGAGCAGGGAGGAGAATGTGCTGAGGGGCTTCAAGGCCCCGAGTGGAGAGAGGGACGGGGTTGCAGCAGGGTTCATCTGATCTCTGCAGCCAGCTGGTAGGTCTAGCCTGCCTACATCTGAGACTAGAAACCAGAGGCAGGGACTCTGTGCGTGTGTGTGTGTGTGTGTGTGTGTGTGTGTGCGTGTGTGTCTAGCCTGCCTAGATCCGAGACCAGAAACCAGAGGCAGGGGCTCTGTGCCCGTGTGTGTGTGTGCATCTGTGCATGTGTGTGGAGGTTCCCATGCAGAAATCGTAGCGTACAGAGCGAAAGGCTGAATGGGGTGAATGAAGCCTTTCTCTGAGACTAGTGCTGTTTTTAGGCATGGTCACATACTGTCTCTGCTGCTCTGTCTTTTTCAGCATTGTCATCCTTTATTTGCGATTTGGAGCACAAGTACTGCAAGACAATTTTGTAGCAGAGCTGTCCACTCACTACCAGAATTATATCCTTTTAACTGGAGGCCCCGGCCGCGGAAGGCCTGCTTAGTGTTAGAGCGGTTGGTGGCTCAGGTTTGCCCCTCGTGAGAGGAGACGGATCAGCTCCTCGAGTCCTGTTCCCTGGAGGCCTCATCGCTGCCGAGAGGCGTCTCAGTTGGCCCCACTGCAGCCGAGGGAATGGGTGGCCTTGTCCCTCCTCTGTAGACAAGAAACTTGGGCCTGAGGGCTCAGCAGTTCCCCCAGATCAGGTTTCGGGTGGCAGAGCCTGGCTCGAAACCCAGGGGGGCTGGCGCTCTGGAGCGTGCCCACGCCACCCTGCTTTCCACCCAGAGGGGCGGGCACCATGCGGTGAGTGCGGTGCAGTCACCCCTCCACACCATGGGGGTCCAAGCCCCCACTGCCCTCCAGCAGAGCACTGTGGGGTGGCCGAGGCTGCTGCGAGCCTCTGCTGGGGGTGTCTCTGTCACCGTCACTGAGATGTATCCAGGGGCATAATAGTCGTGGCAGGCTGAGGCTGTGTCTGTAGAGAAGGGCTCCTAAAATCCTGGGACCCCCTTCGATTCCTGCTGTGCCCAAGGCCAGTGGCGCAGGGCTGTGGTCTCTGGGGAGCCCTACCCTTGCCCAGAGGTCCAAGAGCTTATGGGTGTGCTTTCCACTCCCCCTTGATGGGGACATTTCAGGCGTTAATCCTTTAAATCTTGGGTTCTTTTTTTGGGACTTCTTATGTCCCAATTAATGTATGAATTAATACACAGTTTTTCAGATTTTTGTGACTGAATTTTATGCTAAGCTTTTATCAGATTTTCTTGGGGAGCTGTAATCCAGAAAATGTTCAGAACAACTGGTTTGAGAGTTTGTTCCCAATTCTTTATTTCATTATTGTGTCTAAATACTTTGATTCACTGTATGCCTACGGCCTTCTGCCCTTTCCATGTAACTTCATCTCTTCTGGCCCTGCTCTCGGTGTGGTGACAGGAGTGCCACCAGATGGCTCAGTGGGTCCAGGCTTCCACTGACGTGAGAGGCCGAGGTTCACCTGTTATTTACTGTGACCTTGAGGAGTCCTTGTGACCCTGGCTGTGGGCGTGAACCGTGGTGTCCTGATGTCTGGGTTATGGCCCCCGGGCACTGGCTGGAACTTAGCACTAGAAGGGGCTGCTGATGGCGGAAAGTGGTCAGGGTGCTGCAGAGCCACTGACTGAGGCGTCCAGACGCTTTGTTTCTTCCCTTGACAGTGCCACCAGCCGAGTTCTTATCTTTCTATGGCTTGCTGAACTTTTATCTCTACACCTTGGCCTTTGTGTATTCTCCGTCGAAGAATGCCCTCTATGGTAAGCCACCCTGGGGTCTGGGCTCCTGGCCAGGTATCGGGCACAGAAGCCTGTGTTCAGCAGGACCCACTTCCTGGTTTTCCCATTCATGTGGGCACCATGATTCCCAGTCGTTTTTCTTGGCAGAGAGACAGTGAGTTTAAATGCTGAGCTCTGAGACGAGTTGGGGCCCAGCACACAGGGAGCCTGTGTCGTGGCATTCCCACGCAGAGTTAATACACTCACTTTGTTAGTGTGCCATAGCATAGCCACAGGTCCATCAGCTGTACGAAGTCAAGTCTGTCAACTACAGGCAGTTCTCAGCTTATGCTGTTGAGCTTGAGATTGTTTTTGACTTTACAATGGTGCAAAAGCAATTCACATTCGGGAGGAATCAAACAATTCTGTTTTTCAGTTTCAGTACAGCATTCAATAAGTTCATGAGATAGTCCAAAGTTTTATTACAAAATAGGCTTTGATCTCAGCACTTTGGGAGGCCACGGTGGGAGGATTGTGTGAGGCTGGGAGTTTGTAACCAGCCTGGGGAACAAAATAGAGACCCCGTCTCTAGAAAAAAATTAAAAATTAGTCAGTTGCGGTGGCATGTTCCAGTAGTCCCAGCCACTCGTTTGGCTGAGGAGGGATGATCTCACTTGAGCCCAAGAGGTGAAGCTGCAGTGAACTATGAGCACGCCACTGCACGCCAGCCTTGGTGACAGAATAAGACCCTGTGGCAAAAAAAAAAAAAAAAAAGTTTTGCATTAGATAATTTTGCCCAACTGTAGGCTAATGTAATAACATTTAAGGCAGAATAGGCTAAGCCATGATGTTCAGTGTGTTAGATATAGTCAATGCATTTTAATGATATTTTCATTTTAACAATGGATTTATCAGGACATAACCCCATTGTAAATCAGGGACCATCTGTAGTAGTGTTGTTACCATTCAAAAAAAGCCAAAACATACAAAAACAGTCATCCGGAAATGAAACCAAAACAACCCTCTTGCACAGGGAATGAAATGGAAGGGAGCCTTCTAGAACACAGGTAGGCCCGCCGCGCCCCGAGACATCTTACCATGTGCGGCCACTTTCCCAGCTCCTTCACGAACGGCGTCTTAAGCTTCACAACAACTTGATGATAAACATGTAATTGTGCCCATTTTACACAAGAAGGTATTCAGAAGCAGCGGCTCGCTGCACGTCCAAGGACTGGGTGGGCGCAGGCATGGCAGAGCCGGGTCTCCTGGGGCCTGTTTTTGGCTCCCCATGTCAACAGGGACGGCCCATGCGAGGGCACCAGCAGGCCTGCCTGCGCCTTCCCAGAGGCCACCTCCCTCAGCCTTCAGGACATCCATGCCAGGCAGGCCAACCCATCCCTGTCTTATAGATGGGAAAATAGCCTCATGAGATTTGTTGAGGTTCGTACAGATGCGGCAGCATCTGCGATTTGAGTCCAGCCCTTTCCGACCCCCGTCCTTTGTCGGGGAGAGTGTCCTGCCTGTCCAGGCTAATTGTGTCAGTGGCTGGAGATGAAAATGCTCTTGTTGGTTTTCAGAGTCCCAGCTGAAAGACAACCCTGCCTTCTCCATGCTCAATGACTCTGATGATGATGTGATTTATGGGTAAGTCCCTGTCCGTTAGAAGGCTGGCGCACCTTGGGCATCCCAGTGTGGCCTTGCATGCTTACTTAAACTGGTGACTATTCTAAATTATTTTCAAGGGACTAAAGCATTTACCTGGGAGTGTCCTGTGGTTCATGGTTTTCTGTTTTCCCAGTATTCGGGCTTAGATGTGGTGGTATTCCTTTCTTTTGGATACCTATGGGGCATGGTGGCCAAAGGAAGAAGTCTGCTTTCTGGACTGGTGGGCCCTGGGGCTGGGGTGAGGAGGACGGGGTGAGCAGTAGCATGCTGCTGGTGATGGAAGATTGAGAGAGTGAAGCTATGAGCGAGTTCCTGCTGGAATGGCGTGTCAGTGCGGAAGAAGAAAATAAAGAGCTGTCAGAAGTCAGACAGTCTCAAAGGTCTCTTTGCTAACAGGAGTGACTATGAAGAAATGCCCCTGCAGAACGGCCAGGCCATCCGGGCCAAGTACAAGGAGGAGTCAGACAGTGACTGAGCCCCTGCCAGGCCAGGGTGAGGTGACAAGGTGCCTGGATGCTTTCCCTGGTGACCGTTTCCCGACCGTCCCGTTTGACAAGAGATTTCCTGTTTCTTATTTGTTTACATATTTTTTAAAGGAAAACCAAAACTGAAGGCAAATTTAAATGTTTAGCCAATTTGTTGTCTAATTGGTAGCTGTGAGGAGAGGTGCTGATAAAAAGTTTGAACAGTCAAATCCTTTTTACAAAGATTTCAGATGAGAGTGCATGTTTTCAGTGGTAAGGAGGAAATTACCCATTTTTAGTGGAGTCAATTATGTACTTTTTTTTTTTTTTTTTTAAATCATTCACTGATTCCAGGTTCATGGGCAACCCTGTGACTAGGTCCACAGCATGACAGCATTACCCGAGTGCTTCCCTTCTCTGTGGTAGTTTTTTGACCCTTTCAACTCAAAGGAAGCCTTTTCTGTAGCTGCTTCAGGGCAGTCCTTCCTCGTTCAGCGGCTAGTGCCCTGGGTAACCAAGTGGCTGAAGTGATGGGTCACTTACATAGACTGTGTTTTGTGCAGTGTGTAAGTTACGACTCCTCAGGAATGGAGGATGCCTGGGTTCTAACCCTTTACATCACCACAGGTGAAGTAACAGTGTGGAGTTCTGGGGAGGGTTTGATAAGCTGAATAAGGAAAGGCTAAGATAATTTGCAGGTTACCAACTCCCGTGGGGAAGGTCTTATTGCCATGGTGCTTTTCAGGGGCTTGTGTGTGCACACACATGACTGTGAATGATTTCCCTGTGGCTGGTGTGGGCAGGAGAGGAACCCTTACTATTCTAATAAATAGCAGTTTCTGCAGTTCTGTTGAACATGAAATGCTATAGAGTTTTTGTTGTTGTTTTTTTTTTTTTTTTACTATTATTAAATAAAAGCTAAATGAAGGCCCAGGTGCATTGGCTCACACCTGTAATCCCAGCACTTTGGGAGGCAAAGGTGGGAGGATCACTTGAGCCCAGGAGTTTGAGACCAGGCTGGGCAACATAGGGAGACGCCATCTGTACAAAATATTTAAAAAAAAAAAAAAATAACCAGGCATGCTAGGGCATGCCTGTGTAGTCCCAGCGACTCAGGAGGCTTAGGTGGGAGAAATGCTTGAGCCCTAGAGGTTGAGGCTGCAGTGAGCCCTGATTGTGCTACTGCACTGCAGCCTGGGTGTCAGAGCAAGAACCTGTCTAAAAGTAAAGCTCAATGAAAGATAAAACTTTTTTTTATTGCATTTTAGGTTTTGGGGTACATGTGAAGAACATGCAAGATTATTGCATAGGTACACACATGGCAGTATGATTTGCTGCCTTCCTCCCCATCACCTATATCTGGTATTTTTAGATTCTTTATTGGCAAAAGTTTTTAAAATTCATATTTTGAAGCAAAAGGAAAAATGTTTTAAATGGTTCATGGGAAACCTGGTTGGGTAGAAGGCAGCTTGTGCAGAAGAGGTTCCCTGTCCTCCATGTATCACACGGCAGTCAGGTAGGGACAACCTCCTCCATGAAGTCCTTGGCACTGCTGAATCTGTGGCATCATACAAGGCCCTGGAACTTCCCCGTTCCTTTTAGTGAAGGTCTCCATATAGAAGTCTCGTGTGGACATCTCCCTTGCTTTCCCCTTGACCTCTACAGTCACACCTCTGTTAACATCCGGTAACTGTGGGCAACCTGACTGATGCCGTCTTGGCGAATTGAGGTCCAGAAGATGATAGTTCGAAATGCAAAGAGTACCCAATTTTTTCCTTCATCTATGCACTGACTCATATTACCATGCGGAGCTTCAAATTATCCACGTTAAATAGTGCTAGGATCTCAGAGATGTTCATGAGAGGCTATTTGTTATGACTCTGTATCTTTCCTTTTAAACTTTAGTGATACTTTTAATACGGAGTCCATTCACATTTGTTTAAAAAATCTTGTAAATATGAATATTTAAGACGTGTTATTGCAAGGGTAACTCAAGTTTACATGATTTTTAAATTTGCAATGATGTGATGACTTTTTTGATTGAAAAAAAATGTCTGTTACCAAATTTTACAGCTTCTAAATAAGACTACTGTAACTATACTTTTATGTAAACTAATGAAGACTTGTGCTGGTTAACATATTCTGTGATACAGTTTACAACTTTTAATCATAAAATAATCATCCATGATTTGGAATGCTGTTATTTATCAGTAAATGTAAAATATGTGAGGCATTTAGCCATACACACACTAGAACTTTTTAAAACTTATCTTTGTCCTATACTGTAATTATAAACTGATGACTATTACCTTTATACATTGAGTCTTCATGGCATCATTGAAATGAAAAATATGGGATTATTTATTTACTTTGTGTAACTAAGTTGGAAATAAGAAAAAGGAAAGTACTTAAGTAAGGGGAAGATGTTTATCATGTATTTTCAACTTGTCTTCCCTGGTATATCACAAATATTAACATATTACGCACCCCATGTAAAATTTTGCTTAAACTCCATAGCAACTGGCATGTAGAATATGTGCCATAAGTATCGGGTTAAAACACTAAAGTCTACCAGAAACTTTTGACAGTAGCAAGAAAATTGTCTTTCTGCAAGGAGAGTTTTGCAAACTGAAAGGGCTGACTTCGTTTTTTCATGGTAATGGTGTGAGTAACATCATCTCTGGGATTTTTTTTAATACTGGTCCAGTCTAGGGGAACTGGAAGATGACCAGAGGTATTTCAGTTTCCCTAGGGAGAGCTTTGTTATCCGTGTGGATAATAAGTCTGCTTGATTTATTATTAAATCATTACAGCAGTGATGTGGTGCCATTTTTCTCTCTCTTAAGCCCCATTTGAAAGGCTAGAGAAGGGGAGATACATACGATACTCACGGTAAGGTTGTTACTGTACATAATTGCAGATTGCAATCAAAGCCTAGACACATGATGTAAACCCGACCCACTAAATGGGGAGGTTACAAGACAAATGTCACCAGCGTCAAGTATTTTATGAACTATTTACTGAGGGTAGTTGTGTTAAGTAGGTTATCATGTGATAAATTATTTACTGAATCCTTTATCATAGGAAAAACAGATCCTCACAAAAGGGATGTCTCTCTGAACACGTAGTGAAGATGAGACTTAAAACATGAAGTGTATTTGTGTATTTTGAGCGTTTTAGAAACCAGTTGCCTTAGAGGTTGGACTTTTGGGGGAAAAAAAAAAGATATACATCTTTTCCCCTGGCCGAAGGGAAGTTGTGTTTATCTGTGACATCTTGTGATGCTGTTTATCTTGGTTTGACATTGGAGATAACGCTGGTAACCATACTATGAAACAGAAGAATTTTCTGCTACTGAAAACTGCCTTTTTACAAAATGACTGTAAATATTTATAAAAATAACACTAAACCTTACACCCAAAGGGAGAGGTAGAGCTGTGTGTTGGGTTGTGGAAGGAGAGGTAGGGCCGTGTGCGCGGGTGTGGACTGTCTGTGGAGCACAGTACCACCCCATCACAGTTGTTGCTGTCATCAGGCAAAAATGAATGTTTATGGCAAGTTCATGTTTTGCGAATGGCTTAATTCTGACACTACCCTTCTGTTAAATGTTAATAAATTTTTAGTATTCACTTTTCTGTCTGACTTGCTTTTTGTGTGGAGTTAATTTGGCCTTGCAGACATAAATGCTTTAATAAAGCAGCTTTGGAGACAATGGCAGAGCTTTTCCATTTCAGCAAGCAGAGACGGAGGTGCCTTTATTGCCATGTCTAACATGGCCTGAGGAAGAGCACTAAAGATGGAAATGAGTCCTGGGTTTGGGCCCATCTCCCTGCTTTCTTGGATGTGTGGCTTTAAACTCATCAGATAACTTACAAACACATTTTCTGATTTTTAAATGGCTGCAAATTGTTGAGGACACAAAATGATTGTGAAAGCCATTTTGTAAGCTATGAAGTACTAAAACAGTCTGTGAGTGCTCCAGGGAAGATGGGATTAACAGTTACGGTGTTACAGCTTTGGGCCAAGTGTGAGTTAGAGCTCTCTGGCTAAAGAGAATAGAATCTGGCTTGCCCACTTCCCACCCCTTAACGTGAAAAGAGGAGGGCTAAAGAATGGTGGCTGTGAAGCCCAGGGGTGGAATCTAACCAGAACCCAACAGAGCCTTCAGGATCCTGGTCCCATGGGTGAAATGAGTACATCATGGAGAGGACCACAACAGAACTGCAACTTCTTTTTTTTAGTTTTATGGATTTTGAAGCCACTCATTAAATACCAGGAAATCATTTGTGATACTATGCAATAGACTGAAGAACCCAACAGACTTTAGATTTGGATAATTTATTCTAACAAAAGTATAAAGTATGGAAAATTAGTGTATTTGAATCATTTCAGAGAGTAGAGCAAATTTCACACTAGCAGATTTCAGATTTTAGCACCTTTGAAAAGAAATATTCAGAGTTAAGACAAGTGGCAACGCGAGCTGTAGGTGACCTACAGGGATACTCGTCTGACTTCGGTGCAGTTCACATCACAGTGCGGTCATTTGGTTTTTTTCTCTACATTTTGAGAGTGCCACAAAACACAAAGAGAACGAGAAAAGAGTTCACTGAATTCATGGCTGGTGGTTAGAAGATGAACTAGAGACAAAAGGAGAAAGGTCACAGGCTGGACTGCAGATCAAATAGACAGTCCGAAGGCGCTGACGATGCAGTACATGGTCTTATTCTCCCATCGCACGGTGCAGCTCCCTGCGGGAGGACAGAGTAGCATCTGAGACAAGGAAAGCTGGCGGACTTGACGTTCTACTCACAATAAGGCCAACAGTCAAGTACCTGTCTCTAGGCTATGCAAGTCTATCATGAAATGTTTTAAAAGGTGCTAAGCATGCATTGCATTCAAAGATAAGAAACATCCAATCAAAACACTGCTTTTAGTTAATATATATCAGCATGATCCAAGAAGTGACTTGAAAACTTTCAGGGAAAATGCACACAAAACTTTTCTAACATGAATGAAGATCATACCGTCAGTGGAGCTGTCCCAGAAGCAGGAGCTTGCTGTGTGTAATCCCGCTCCATTCTTCTGCATAATTACACAGGTCACTTGAGTTAAAACAAACTTTTATTAGAGAAATCTACTTGGCAACATAAATGTCATTTTGTCCACTTTTAGCAAATGTACATAGCTCCGCACAGTTGATGTTTTCGATAAAAACTATAGGGACAGATCGCCTTCTTTCATTATATTGACAAATTACAGGTGCTCCTTAACTTACAATGTCCCATAAACCCATCATGAATTGACAATAAATGAAAACGTAAGTTGCAAATACACTTAATACCCTGATAAATCCATCATAAAGTCAAAAAATCCTCAGTTGCGGTGGGTGGGTGGCTGTACACACTTCCTCTATGCTTCACCTGTTCTAAAAGCATCTGATGGGACAACCTATAAGATCCTGCTTCACATACGCCCTGCAACTGTACCAGCAGCCAAACGGTCAAGTGTGCTAACGTATACTCCACACACGACCGACTCCCTGAGGTAAGGCCACGTCTGTCATTTCTGGTACTGGACACACCTGACTGGTGTTAAAGAACTATCCCCCAAATATACAAGAAACAAAAATCCATTACCAATGTATTTAAATGGTTTTCCCAGCTTGGTGAGTTGGCTTAAAGTTTGTTCTACTACATTTGTGGTCCATTGGTTCACTTTGCTGTGTTGATACGCGTTACCACCAATTGCGCTTTCTATAGCCTAGAAAACCAAGCAAAAGCGTCTCACAGTTACGCAAATGCGCCCACACCACCTTTCAATTAGGAACTGACAGTTACCACCCCCAGAAGTGATTTATGAAGTTTATTTTTAATCATGAGGATGCCTCTGCAAATACACTTTTTGTTTAAGAGCATTACATTTCATTTAAGGAAGTTTGATACTTGTTTTAAAAATTCAGTCTGTCAAATTATACATTTTGACCTAATTGCATTTAATATTCACTATTATTAATATTTATAGATAATACATTGTTTTCTTGTTGAGGCTAGAAAGTATTTTACCAATTCCTTTTTTAAAAGTGTTAACTAATACTACTTAACATATACTAATACTGTATTTTAGATGAATTGTATTATTTGTACAACTGATAATATATAAACCTATCCAAATAATCATCTATTAAAAAATACTTCTTTTATCCAGCATTGTCTGGGAATATATTATCACATTAAGTGCATTTTTCAGATAAGAAAAGCCCTTTATAGTCCAGAACTTATTTTAGATTTGTGATGAAATTTTTTTCTTTCATTTTTTTTCTGAGGCAGGGCCTCCCATTGCCCAGGCTGCAGAGCTGTGACGCAGTCCTGGCTCACTGCAGCCTTGACCTCCTGGGCTCAAGCAATCCTCCCACTTCAGCTTCCCCAGTAGCTGGGACTGCAGACACGTGCCACCACACCCAGCTAGTTTTTTGTAGAGATGAGGTCTTGCTCTGTTGCCCAGGCTGCTCTCAAATGCCTGGGCTCAAGTGATCCTTCTGCCTCAGCCTCCTAAAGTGCTGGGATTACAGGCATAAGCCACGGCATTCAGCCCCAGTTTTTTCCTTTATTATACGTTTACTTCTTTTTCTGTGCTATATGCTTTGGGGTTATCTGACGATGCAGGGCTCACTGTCGCTGCTCTTGCTAAGCTTATTATGATACTGCCATCGTGTGATTTTCTGGGTCTTTCACTGTTGGTCTCCTTTCACTTGGATGCCAGTGAGCTTGCATCTCAGCAGCCTTCTTCTCTAGCCCTAACTTGGCTGTGCTGGAAACCAGGAACCTGAATTTCTATGACAGTTATGAGCTAAAGTGAAAATAGAAACATTCAGTGAGGGCCAAGGTCTGTCCTCAGACAGGCAGAGAACACCAGCAGTCTGGAGTCTGAGCTTTGCATGATGGTGACAGACAGGGATCTGATGCCTGGGGCTTGGATCCAGTGACCTTGCTTTTGAGGACCTAAAACCTCCCTAGGTCACACTCTGCTTTCTACCTACAGACTGCCTATGATCTCCTGGGGACTCTGGGCAGTCACGTTACTCACAGGTCTGACTGACTTCTCGTCCTCTGCTACTGTGCTCCCTCCCAGCTCAGATGCTACAAGGGGTGTGGGGGGCCAGAAGTCCCGGTTTAAGGGGACAGCAGTATTACTAGACCTGGCCATTGTCAAAGGGGGAGAAGGCTTTGTTCGAGCCAAACCTCTCCCTCTGCCAGCTCTCCACACATACTTTGACATTCAGTTTTTCAGGGAGGAGGGAACCAATTTTGGATTTGTGCAAATTGACTACTACCCAATACTTGGGTAACCTGAATACAGAATTACCTATTGCGGAGGGGAAAAAGCTATTGAAGCCAGTGATACAAGTTCAAGTAACATTGGAATGTCACCTCATGTTTCCATGTGGATTGGATTGGAAATGTGTGTGTGTGTTTTTTTTTTTTTTAGATGAAGTCTCGCTTTTGTTGCCCAGACTGGAGTGCAATGGCGTGATCTCAGCTCACTGCAACCTCCCCCCTCCCAGGTTCAAGCAATTTTCCTGCCTCAGCCTCCCGAGTAGCTGGGATTACAGGCCCCCACTACCATGCCCAGCTAATTTTTTTGTATTTTTAGTAGTGACGGGGTTCACCATGTTGGCCAGGCTGGTCTCGAACTCCTGACCTCAAGTGATCTGCCTGCCTTAGCCCCAAAAAGTGCTGGGAATACAGGTGTGAACCACCGTGCTTGGCCAGAAATGTGTACTTTCAATTGCATTTGCCACCTGGAAACCAAGTCAAAGCTAAGGCAGAAAACAACGGAGGCAGAACTAGACTTCCCAACAAGCCACCTCCACTGTTCCCAGTTCTGTTGTAATCCACCCACCTTTCTGGTCCCTAATGTGATCCATGTGAAACTGGATTTAGATAACCATGAAAAGCAAACTTATAGATCCCGCAAAGCAACAGGAAAGTCATGCCTGATTCTGAACAATGTAAATGGTAAAACAAAATCATTTTGCTTTTGGATACTGGTCACAAACATAGGTTGTGTTTTTTTATTGAACACTAGTCAATAATTTACATTAAATCCTAAATTACATATGAAACACCAAACAGTATCATTAAATTCAGATCATCTTATAATTTTCTTTTAGCCAATGGCTTTAATGTCTGTGCCCCATCTTACCCAGGGAAGGCAGGGAAGTTGACAAGGAAAATCTTTGGCTTCATTCCTACGCCAGGGCCCCTGGCTCTCAGCACCACTCCAGCCACACCCACCTCCTTCCACTCCCTCACACACAACGTGCACTGCCCCCACCTCCCACAAGGCCTTGTCCCCCCTTTTTGCTGCATTACCCCTACTTCTATCATTCTTCAGCTTTCAGCTCTAAATAGTCCCTGAACTCCCTGGGTGGGTCCCACTCCCTATTCAGTGTTCTCACAGCACCACCTCTAGTGGCATTTACCACACAGCAAATGCAAGCGGACACTTCCCAGCAGGACTATTTGATGTGTCTGCCCTGCCTGCCCCACAGCTGTAAACTCCAGGAAGGTCTACGCCCTGCAAGATCCCTCAGTGTGTACTTTCTGAATGAATAAAAAGCATCCCTTCTGTGTCTCATCCTCCTCATGATGAATAACGCAAAAAAGTGTGAAGTTTAGGAATGTAAGAAAAGTAAGCAAATAAGTCCCAAACTGGATCACCTGGTCTGGAGTAACTAGAAGCTGAATTTTCTTAAACTCACTCTTCATTAAGCCCTGGAAACATTTATTAGTATGCCAGGAGTCTTTTATGCTAAAAGATTATAAAATCAAGTTTTGGTGATATTCAGTAATAATGCTATGTGCATAAAATCCTTGTCTGATTTAAAATATATAATTTACATAATATAGGAGCAATTCTTATCCAGCTATTTACTGAAATAAAACCTGTTATCTGAAACACCAAAACAGAGACTTGGTTCAAACAATTCCAAGATGATATTTACAACGTATCATTTTCTCTAATATAAGCTACAAACATTTAAGAAGAGAGCATTTCTCCTCTTACCTCTTTTACAATGTTGCTCACTTCATCCACAACAAAAGCAGTCTGTAAGAAAGAATATTTGGTTAAGTTTGATTTATTTAAAAGATATTTCCACTACATTGGTAAATGCAGATTTAGGTAATGAACATAATTTAGAAATGAAGACCTTAGAAATAATCTAACTAGACCGTTCACTTTACCAAGGATGGATGGCATTGCAAGTCTTCAGAAACCAGAAGACTAGAATACATACACATAATTGAAAGGTGTTCTGTTTTATTTTTATTTATTTATTTTTGATATGGAGTGTCACTCTGCAGCCCAGGCTGGAGTGCAGTGGCACAATCTCAGCTCACTACAACCTCCACCTCCCAGGTTCAAGCGATTCTCCTGCCTCAGCATCCCAAGTAGCTGGGATTACAGGTGCCCTCCACCATACCTGGCTAATTTTCATATTTTTAGTAGAAATGGGGTTTCAACACGTTGGCCAGGCTGGTCTTCAACTCCTGACCTCAGGTGATCCTCCTGCCTCGGCCTCCCAAGGTGCTGGGATTACAGGCATGAGCCACTGCGCCCAGCCTGTCTTGTTTTAATCATGCCACACTCTTAAGATTTCACTTTAAACTAGAATTCAATCTCCCATTTCAACTGGCTGCTGGAATCATAACCAACAGAGAGCCTTAATGAGTTGTTTAATTTTTGCATAAATTAACTGAAGCTGCTGAAGCAATCCATTTAAGATGTAATTCTCTCTTCCCTGGTGTAAACTGATTAGGAGTCCTGGCCTTGAGGAAATTTTTTTAAAGCACCATTAGTTGTAAAATTTACAATGATTGTATTATTTCCAGATAATTATTTTTCTTTCCCAGTGCTGCCCTCCTGCTCCAGGACTAACCACCAGCTGCCAGCATGGCCGTTCTCTGTCAGTGTCCGGATGACTCAGGAGATGGGCTGCCTGCAGTAATCTAGTGCCAAGAGTATAGTTTTCTTTCTTTCCCTTTTACACATGGCAGATCTGAATGGGTGAAAGATCATCCTGAAAATAACATTGGTCAGGCACTTGCCTGCCACTGTGCTCTTCACATGAGCACAGGCGTTTAAAGTTACTGCTGAGTCACAGGAAATGTATGTAGCTCTGGACATTCCTTCAAGAGGGCAGCCCCTGGGACCCTCAGTCAATATGCATCTTTGGGGAATCAAGGCAGAGAACCTTGACTTGGCAGTGAGTCTTCCTCCCTGCCTGGCTGTTGTTCACTGCAGGCCCTGCCCTTTCTTTTTAGGGGCGTCAAGAGCGGACTTCCCGAAGCCACCTCACTTGCTGTACTCATAAGTCAGACTGAAACAAAACCAACTCACTGAGTGAATGACAATTTGCAATATCTTAGGGATTAGGTCATTTCTGGAAGCCTAAAGGATCCTTCCAAGTGATTATAGTGACCTTAATTACAAAGGAAAGGTGCTGTATCACCTTTCATATGGTTCAAGTATGAAAAAGGTTGAGGGACGTTTTAAAGACTGTTTCGTGGAAAGCAGAGTGTTGTAATTAATCCAGTGAACAGTTTCAACTTCTCCGAGAAAGATGAATGATGAGTTGAGAGAATAGTTACAAAGGCTCAGGAATCTACATGAAGTTAGAAGAGATGCAGAAAAGGCTGCAGAGAGGCTGGTGGGAGGACCAGAAGGAGACCATTCAGTAAATACCTAAGGCATGCCTACTACAAGACAGCCATGGCCTCCACCTCCCAGAGCATCCATCCCATAGGAAACACATCACTCTGTCTAGCCCCTTCATTTGATACATACGGAATTGAGATCTAGAATAATAAAGTCACTTAGCTACCTCATCTGTGGGAGCCAGAATCGGACCGCAGTATTAAGGGCTTCCCTTTCCATAGCCATTTCTTTTTTTTAGAACAGTTTTACTTGATATTACTACAATACAAGCCATTTTCCAATATTAGCAACAGTTTAAGGGAAAAGGTTTGTCCTTTGCTAGCTGCTCCTGAACCAGGTCTTCTCGTCATTATTCACTTGGTTGCCATCAGCATTCAAACACCCGTTATGCCACTATCACAGGAAGTGCACGTTAGTGAGGAAATCAGATCAAAACTGAATCTACAATGTCCTCAAGCTTAAGCCTTAGTTTTATTTTCCCTGAAAATATTCCTCCTTAAATTTCATAAATGGTAAAATGTCCAATCTTACCAAATGTATCATAGTTTTTATTTTTGACAGGCTGTATAATACCTTGGACTCTAAATTTCAACGAGAGTTATTCAGTGAGAAGAAAATGAGTGTTGTATCTCAGCTGCGCCCATCAGCTCTATTTCCCGAATGACTGTGAGCTTGAAAGAAAGCCATTTAACGTACACGGTGCCGGTGGGTGTCTTCTGCTTGGCAAGATCGTGAGCTTTATCCTACTACTTGGATAAGAGACGGTTCCCCCCGCCCCCCAACAACAATGAGCTTTCTTACAGACAAACAGAAATGAAATATGCTACTCATTCCCAGCGCTGCAGAACCAGGTGAGGCCCGAGACAAAGGCGCGGGGTGGCCGTGACGCCAGCCCGGGGGAAGGGGCTGGGGGCGAGCGTGTCACCTGCACCCCCGCGCGGGGACGTCCGGGCCTCGGCGCTCCCAGCCCGGCCGCCGCGCCCCGCTCGGGGCTGGGGTCCGCCCCACAGAGCAAGGGGCGGTGATGTCATCCTCCCGGTGAGGTCGGCAGCGGGCCGGGGCCAGGCCCTACGGGAAGGCGTCTCCGCGCTGTTCACCCGGGCGCTCGGTCCGAGTCACGCCCGGTGCCGCCCCGCGCGGGAAGGAACTCAATCTCCTTCCTGCACCCGCTGCCGGGTAAACGGCAGCAGTACCCGGGCTGGCTGGGGCTGCGCGGAACCCCGGCGATCGTGAACCTCAGGCCGTGGGCGGCCGCGACCGGCCTAGCCCGGGGAGGGGGGCAGCCAGGGCTTTCCGGTCAAGACTGCGCGTCCTTCCGCGCCCAGGGCTCTAGGCCTCCACCCTTCCGTCGCCGACCCGGCGGTTACCTCCTCCGCAGCCTGATAGTCTTCCATCTTTCCTCTGGCGCGTCGCCTCCGCCTCCCTGAGTGGCGCGGACTGCGCAGGCGCAGTCAGGCCCCGCCCAGGGCTGCCACGCCCCTCTCCGCTCTCCCCAGCCCCGCCCACGCCCAGCTTCCGGGCCGCGCCCTTCCAGGCCCGGCTGCCAAGTGCAGGGGCCCGGTGCCTGGGCGGGGCCCGCGGGGTGGACCGTGAATTGGCCTCTCCTCCCATCTTCTCGAAGGTGGTGGTTTCCATAGGAACCCGTGAGGGTAGCCAGGCAGCTCCCTAAACCTCAGCAACAGAAACAAAACACACGTCCGAGAGGGGAAGCGTGGTCCCGGCCCCTCCTCTGGTGTGTACTGAGGGGACTGACGCGGACCTTCAAACGGGCCCGGGCACCTGGCAACAAACTCGACAGCGACTGCCCAAGGCAGCGCACCCGGTGAGACATTGTTGCAGTTCCCTCGGGGATCTGGAATTGGCATACTTTAGCTATTGAACGAAACTTCCCTTTGAGGAGTTAGATTTTCCAGGTAAACGAAAATTTTTCCTTTAAGCACCATTAACATAAAACCGTTTTGGGTGAAAAATTTTGTAAAGTGTGGCACACTTCCTGACTATATTAACCACAATGAACTAGCCAGACTTGATTTATATCTGGGCTCTATGGAAATTAGGAATTGCGCTGGGTTCTGGTAAACTGCCCTCCGCGAAAAGCTGGGGCACATGCACCTGTGTGCAGGTATTCTTAGCCTCAGAGTTTTGATTTTGGCGTTTGCCTTTTCTGGTTTCATCATGCACTTGAATTCAGGCTGCTGGAACCCACTTTCCATTCCCCAGGAAAGAGCTGACTGCAGGGGTCCCAGGGACTTGGTAGAACTAAGCTTCAAATCCCACATCCACCAGCAACCCTTGTTATTTCTACCCCATATGCTCCGGACCTTAGTTAAAGATTGAGATCTCTCACCTGGATTCTGACCATCTGACTGTAACCTGGTTGGTCTATCATGTCCTTCAAGAGGAACCTCACGCCAAGACACTTCTCTCCCCTCACTCGTTCTGCCTTGCCCTAAGTCAATAGCTCCTGTGTTGTCAGACTATAGACTAATCTTAGTGATCTTTGGATGACTAAACTTTAACGTATCTTAGCTCAAAATCCCCTACAGAGAGACTTCCTGTGACCACTGCATCTAAGGTAGCTGACCTCCTCATTCTCCATCCCCCATCCTGTACATTTTCCTCATAGCACTTCTCTCACTTTGCAAGAATGTATTTATGGTTGCTTGTTTATGGTGTGTCTTCATTTAGAAATTATGTGCGATGCAGGTAGGATCTGTTTTATTTACTAATGTATCCCTTTCCTTTTACATTGTGCTTGGCACATAATAGCTGCACAATTAAAATGTATTTATTTATTTATTTAGAGACAGGATCTCACTCTGTTGCCTGGGCTGGAATGCAGTGGTGTGATCAGATATTTTGAGCTAAGATGTGTTAAAGTTTAGTCATCCAAAGACCACTAAGAGCTTGAACTCCTGGGCTCAAGGTATTCTCCTGCCTTAGCCTCCTGAGCAGCTGGGATTCCAGGCACTAGCCACCACACCCAGCTACTTTTTAAAATATTTCTTTTGTAGAGATGGGGCCTCACTGTGTTGCCCAGGCTGGTCTTAAACTCCTGGGCTTAAAGAATCCTCCAGTCTCAGCCTCCCAAAGTGCCAGGATTATAGCTGTGAGCCACCATGCCGGGCCTAAAATGTATTGAATGAATTATTTCCCCCACAGATGTTAGCTTTGCCTCAGACCCAAATGGAGAGAACTGGGGAGTGAAGGAAGATGCAACCACCTGCCTCTTTGGGGGAAACAGGGCTGGCGAGGGGAGGGTGGAGCCATGACTGACCCAAGGCTCCTTGGCCGTGGGTGCTTGTTCTGAGCAAGGAGACTTGCTGGGTGGGCTGGTTGCTTTCTCACACTTGGTCTTCCTCCCCTTGGATTCTGAACTTTCTCTGCCTTTTGAGTTCCCTTCTTATTACTTGGCTTCACCCCCTTGTTCTGGTGTTTCATTCTTGTTTCAATCCTGTGCCTCAGTCTACAGGTGATTCTGATACTGACATTGCTTTGCCTTCCTGCCATTCCCAGCATCACCTGAGATCTCGTTTTGGGTGTTCTCTGCCTACCTGGTTCCAAGCTTTTGGCCCCACCATGATCCAATCAGGATCAATTGAGAGGCCAATCAGAAACCTCTTAATTCTTTTTTCTTCTGCTACTTTGTTGTAAACCTGGAGTTCAGTAGCTAAGTGTCACAGAATTATGTGCAAAGCGAGGGTAAACTGATTCTGAGTGAATGCCTACAATGGAAGAGCATGACGCTTGGGACAACCTTTTTAATTTTCCCCACAACCTTTTAGGAACTTCCTAATTTAAATGAATTTCCTGAATGGCTGCTAGGATGGTGCATAATTAATGCATGGATCTTGTTGTAACTGAAGATCACCATTCTGCACATAAATCAACAAAAAACATGCAAGTGTGCATTTTTAAAATGTTTACATGATTTCAGCTTTTATACATTGGGTGCCACTCTCCAATTTTAACTATCAAAGAACATTTGCTAAATGATCATATTTATGGCATTTTGAGGCTGCCAATAAACAGATGAGCTGGTCTGTTTACCTTCGTAACTTTGTTCACTTGTTAAACACACATATATGGAGCACTCCCTTCATGTCAGGCTCTGAGCTGGGGTTCAGAGTTGACTAAAGTTGACTAAAACGTGGTCTTTATGAATATTTTTTTTTTTGGGACAGAATATCTCTCTGTCACCAGACTACAGTGGTGCGATCTCGGCTCACTGCAACCTCTGTCTTTTAGGTTCAAGTGATTCTCCTGCCTCAGCCTCCTGAGTAGGTGAGATTACAGGCGTGTGCCACCATACCCAGCTGATTTTTATATTTTTAGTAGAGACTGGTTTTTACCATGTTGGCAAGGAAAGTCTTGATCTCCTGACCTTGTGATCTGCCTGCCTTGGCCTCCCAAAGTGCTGGGATTACAGGCGTGAGCCACTGCGTCCAGCCAGAATATTTTTTTAAATAGATATCTCTGTAAATAGTAGGGATTGAATTCTCTAGGTTTATGTGATGTTGTAGTGCTTGGAAAAATGCAGTGATATGGTATTGTATTCTGCCCAACTGATGTACAGTCTGTAGGACTAAGGAATTTAAAATCGCTAAGACATTTGGCAATTCACCAGGTGCTATTTCCAGCACCTTCTATCTGCCACAAATGGACGTCCATCCGAAGCACTGGAGCTCAGCCATCTTGACTCATAACTGCTCATGAATCTTTGATATTCTGTCATATTTTAGGGTAATGTTTAGTTTCTATGCAGCGAGTCGGTAGAGTGAATCTTGGCTTTGTTTTTCAATTTGGAGGTTAGTGATTGGTTGGCAGGTTTGGGTGCAATCACCTTTCTTTCCTTAAGTCAAATATCTTGACTACAGACTGTGGGACCAGAGCTGCCAATACGTTTATTTAGCAAGTATGGGCCTAATAACCATAGCAATCGATGAACTGTCACATCAGTAAATAACATCAGTAATATCCAGCAGTGTTCTGCTGTCTGTCATCTGCAGCCCTTCATAGTCCAAATCCAATCCTCCGATATTCCATTTTTTCCTTTCTTCCCCTGTGCTAAGAAGTGGTCCTGAGAGGTACTGTGAGATCGTGCTGAGTCAAAATCATACTAGTAGAAGAAGACGATAAGGACGAGGATGTTGTTGAAACGCTCGTGGCTGAGGAATTTAATGTAAAGGAAAGGAAACTCCGGCTGACACATATCTAAAGGGAGAGTCCTGTGCTGAGAAATGCTAAAGAGATGAAGAAATGCCTATATTTAGATCTGCTGTTCGGCTGGGAAGCACAGGCACAGTTCTACTGAAAAACCTGTGTACCCCATGAAAGAGCCATTACTCTGAGCCCTTTGGGTCCCTCTGCCTCTCAATCCTAGTGACTGCAGCCGCTTCCCTGGGATCCCATCCCCAGGATCCGATAACTAAAGGAGAACTCGTGATATAGCAGTGCCTCCGCTGGCTTTTGTTGGAACTCGTCGATATTCATGCTATGGTAGTTATTAAATAGTTTGATTATCAGTTCTGTGTTTATGAAAACGATACATACTGCAGCAGCAGCATAGGCCAGGTTAGCTGCAGAAATGAATGGCCCTAGACTCTCAGTGGTTGATGACGGCAAAGATTTACTTGCCACTCACACTCCGTGACAGCCGAGGACCTTCCATGGCTCTGCGTCCGTGCTGAGCCCAGGTTGATGGAGCAGCCTGTGTCTGGAGTCGTTGAGGGAGAGAGAAGAGAAAGTGGCCCAAGTACTGGCTTGGAAGGTGCCAAGCCTATGTGGCATGTGGCACCTTTGCATATACTTCATTGTCTTCTTGCTCTCCAGAGCAAGTCTTTGGCCATGC